AGGAATGCAAGAAACACAGAAAAACTGCTAGGAAAGATGATGCTATATGGCTCAGCCCTTAATTTTGTATCCTATTATCATTCAATTTTATAGCATAACTATTTAAAAAACCAAACAGGTAATTGTGAATCAAGGGGAATATGCACACAAGGTGTTGTAACACTGTCAAGTGTAGAAGAACAATCCCAAATTCCACATGACTCATTACATGAGAGAGACTGAGAACCTTCTGGCTATATTTTCAGAAGTGGGTACATACCTCTTATGCCTAAACGACCCTAAGATACAATGCTGCCAAAGTCAAAGGCCTCAGTCCAAGGAAGTCTTAATCCTCCCCACTTCACCGCCCCTCCAACAAAACCACAAAAAAGCGCAGACTGAATAATGCAAGAAGTTAACAACTTAGTTACACAGAAAAGCAGGAGCATGCTGGTATGGCCTTTAAATGGTTCTAGCATGAGTATTTCTCATGCTGCTTTATGTCCCTTCAAAACACATCGTACCATGAAATTCCACATCAAAATAGCGTTTGTGGTTCCAACATGCTAACAAATGAACATTCTCTGTAAGAGTGTAAATTTAGATACAAAATGGGTGAACAATTCTCCTGAGGACAAGCAGCAGCAGATCAACCCACCCAAGGCCTCACAGGTAACAACTCATAGCTAAATCTAGATCTGAAAAGTCACCGTCCACTGCTGTAACCACAATTCCATGTTTCTCCTACAGTAGAACAAAAATGTTTTAATGTTGTCTTTATGTGATCTGCTGAAGCTTGTTCAAATCTGCACATTCTTCACCTTGCTCTGCACAAGAATTCAAGCTTCGGTAAAAAATTAGGAGCATCACTGCAGTTTATTTGGGAACAACCTTAAACTTCAGACAACTTATTGAAGTAAATGAGAGTTCCAGCATGCTTGTATACAAGTCTAACAAAAGAGGCCTGACTTGAAAATGGGCATTTTCTTTCCATAGGATCATATACACACACTTTTCCATTTTATCATCTCAAAACTTCTTTCTGTGCTTCAAGATCAGTGCCTCGGCCCTTGAGTAAATATTGTAGTTACATCCCAGCATCTGGAGATTTAAGAAAGTGTTTTCTATTTTCTTTAATATACTAAGCTATAATTTTCTGTATTTTAGCTGAAATATCACAAGATGATCTGGTCATACAGCCACAGCAACTTCACAGACAAGTAAATGGTTATAGTAAAAAAACTCACTAGTGTCATATTTTAAAGTTTTATGCTTTTGAACATCGGAACCGAAACAGAACAATCACATCTTTGGACTTCCTTAGACTGCAGTTTCACTATACAAATTGTTCAGTATGGTACAAATCGCTTTGCCCTGCTTCTTCACATCTCTATACTGAAACACATTTTTAGTATAATTACACCCAAAAAACTATTTGTGACTCTATACCACAGATGAAATCGGGGAGTTGACCTGATTCACAGTACAAACCTGCAAATAACTGTGTCAGCACAACTGCAGGAGAGTACACCTTATCAAAACCAGTAGAAATACTCTGAAGTAATCTTACTAACAAGATTTTAAAAGCATTTTCGTTATTTTTAAGTTTTGTTCCTCCACTGCCAGTGCTGCAAGCGGAGCCAGTACTGCAAGCAATTTTTTTTTAACCATTCATAGTTTAGATTGTTGAAGAGAGCAAAATTAGTATTACTTTCTGTAATACACATAAGCATATTCATGTACCAAAAAGTCACTTAAAAACAAAATCATTGTACCCACCCACAGTAAACCATGTTTATAGATCCTTGGTCTTCTCTAAACATCCATTAATAAAACTAAATACTAAGGTTTGTCATTAAACAATGTAAAGGTTTTGTTTATGCTAAGTACTATCAGAATTTTGAAAGGCTGATTGTGGCAGTGTAGATGTCTAATAGTTTAATGAAACTACACATCTTTTATATAAATATAGATTAAGAGCAACATGGAATACAAATACCCAAACCCACACTTACTAAAAAAAAACCCACCAACTTTCAAAGATTTGGGCCACTTTAATAAATGAAGTATTTCAGTACCCTCTTACTTACTTATATGTAACTAGAGAAGGAAAGGTAAGAGAGCGCTGTACAGGAACATAGGATTGTCATGCTACAGTGCATCAATGGCCCACCAATAAAGTTGCTTTGAAGAAAAGACAAAAAACATCACATCAAGAATTATCAACACAAATTTAGAAACCAAATAATCAAATATTTAAGCACAAGTTGTTGATTCAGATCACGTTTTCTTCAAAATAAAGAACTTTCTTAAGCACTGGTGGCGGTGACTGAAAACTCATCGTATGCATCGTTATTTTGCTGCTAGAAGTCTCTGACAGACACACCTAGGAGAAGTGAACTTTCTATAACCAGGAGCTTGAAATGCCTCATACCCTTAGTCCTTCCAGGTAAGGGCTGAGGTTAGCAAGGGGCCAGTGTTAGATAAATAACAGATTATCTGTTAGATAAACACATAAACAACCAAATTAGTATCTGATCTGTGTTTAAGCAGAGCATTTCTGTTTTCCAGGACAGATAGCTCCTCAACTGATTAAAAATTTCGAACTGTCTTTCAACTTTTATGAAACTAAGCAAGTGTTTTATTTTGAAAAAACAAGAGTTAAGCTGAGAAAAATAAACCAGAAAACCTGATACTGCTTCAGAGTAAACTCTCAGCCATGAGCGGAAAGCTTGGAAAGCTTATGGAGGGAGACCTGGGAGGAGCAGGAAGTGGGTTCCAGAAGATGGCCACGGGATTAACAGTATTATTTAGCTTTAAAATGGAGAGAAAACACAGAACTGCAGCAGATAAAAAAAAAGCTGACTTCTTTACAACTAGAAAAACTACAATAATTTATGAGTACTTATAAAAATACAACAAACAACTAGCATGCATTACACCCTTTCCTCTGGAAAGAAATAATCCAAGAAAGGTCAGTTCTAAAACACACAAAGGTGATCCAATCCATGCAGCTGTGGTCCTGCCACGTGCCTCAGCTGTGCATCCCTATTCCTTCACTGCTTCACACACACTCACTTGACATCTTAAAACTACTTAGGTTAAAAAAAAAAAAAGAGAGAGAGAGATATACCACTAACTACTTTTATTCTGGTGATAAATCTTGACCAGATAGTTCCTTCAACCAGTTCTTTTATGATATTTTATTGGGAGTGTTGTAAGACAGGAATAATTTCTGCTATTTTCCTCAGAGCCACAAAGATCTTAGCTGGAGTAACATGTAATTACCTCTAAAGCACAGTGTCCCCAATATGGATACAAACTGGATAGAGTACAAAAAGAGACCAGCAATAATGCCATGTGGTTTACAGCACATTTAGGAACAGCTTAGAAAATGTGT